AAAGTCTAATTCCCTGGGACTTCTCAGGCCCTTTGCCAGATCCCCAGGTTGGGAAATCCGTTGTGGGTCCTACAAATTTCCTAACAGCATGAGAATTTCTTTGGTATAATTGTTCTGCAGTTTGTGGGTCATCAGCTTAGTGTCTCTATGGTGGGGTTAATGGTGAACCCCTCCAAGAGGGCTTATGCCACATCCAGGTCTGCTGCAGCCAGAGTCCCTGCCCCTGTGGCAGGCCACTGCTGACCTGTCCCTCCACAGGAGATGCTCAAACACTCAAAGGCAGGTCTGGTCAGTCTCTGTGGGGTCTCCTGGTTGCACAAGGTTCTGTTTCAGCCCTCTGAGTGTCTCTGGCAGGTATGGGGTTTGATTCTAAACACTATTTTGCCCCTCCTACCGTCTTGCTGGGGCTTCTCCTTTGCCCTCGAACAGGAGGTATCTTTTTTTGGTGGGATCCAACATTGTCCTGTCGATGGTTGTTCACAGTGAGTTGTATTTTGGAGTTCTCACAGAAGAAGTTGAGCACATGTCCTTCTACTCTGCCATTTTGTCATTTTGGATTAAATATTTAGTAAGCAAAGTAATGCTGAAAAGTCTCCAAGCCAGACTTCAACAATACGTGAACCATGAAATTCCAGATGTTCAAGTGGTTTTAGAAAAGGCAGAGGAACCAGCGATAAAAACTGCCAACATCCGCTGGATCAGCAAAAAAGCAACAGAGTTCCAGAAAGACATCTATTTCTGCTTTATTGACTATGCCAAAGCCTTTGACTGTGTGGATCACAATACACTCTGGAAAATTCTGAAAGAGATGAGAATACCACCACTTGACCTGCCTCTTGAGAAATCTGCATGCAAGTCAGGAAGCAGCAGTTATAACTGGACATGGAACAACAGACTGGCTCCACACAGGAAAAGGAGTATGTCAAGGCTGTATATTGTCACCCTGCTTATTTAAATTATATGCAGAGTACATTATGAGAAAGGCTGGGCTGGATGAAGCACAAGCTGGCAGCAAGATTGCTGGGAGAAATATCAATAAAATCAGATATGCAGATGACACCACCCATGTGGCATAAAGTGAAGAACTAAAGAGCCTCTTGGTGAAAGTGAAAGAGGAGAGTGAAAAGTTGACTTAAAGCTCAACTTCCCTTTCCAGTACCCCCTTGCCTAGTTGGATCCAGACACACAGGGCTCCTTGCCCTGTATGAAACATTAGGGTACATTTAAGAAAATTTGTCAGACACCACCATGGAGAAATTGAAGAAGACCTAAAAATGCAGAGATGTATCATATGCATGTTCTTCAATCATGTCTGATGAGAAGAATTGATACTGCTCAAGGCTCAGTTTCCCCAAAAGTCACCTATAGAGTGCCTCAAAATGCCAGCAAACATTTTTGTAGAGATTGATGAGCTGATGTCTTAAGCAAATACTTTCTTTCTTTATTTCGTTCCATCGGGCCTTATTTGGGGAATGTGGACACGTCATTGTGTCACACGGGGCCTTTTGTTGCAGTGCACAGACACTCCAGTGGCGATGCCCAGGCTCAGTTGTTGCTCCACTGCAGGTAGGATCTGAGTTCCCAGACCAGAGATCAAAGTGATATTGCCCACATTGTGAGGCAGATTCTTTCTTAAAAGATTTGTTTGTTTGTTTATGTAATTTTGGCTTGGCTGGGTCTTCGCTGCTGCACCCGTCGGGGTTTCTCAAGTTGTGGTGAGTGGGGGCTATGCTCTAGTTGCAGCAGACAAGATTCTCATTGCGGTGACTTCTCTTGTTGCAGAGCACAGGCTCTAGGTGCTCCAGCTTCTATAGTTGCGGCTGTTGGGCTCTAGGGCATAGACTCAGAGGTTGTGGTGCTCGGGCTTAGTGGCATTTCAGCTTGTGGGATCTTCCCTGTGCTCCCTGCATTGGCAGGTATTGTCTCAACCACTGGACAACCAGAGAAGTCCCTGATGAGCTGATATTGAAATGTATGTGAGACCAGAAGCCCGAAGATAGCCTGAAGAATTGTGACTATGCACAAATAAAAAGACTAACACAGCCTAGTTTCATAGCTTACTGTACATGTTCAGTACTGGAGCTGTGGATCCATGGGACAAGACTGACAGTCCAGAAACATTTCCGGACATTTGTATGTGGTCAATGGATATTCGGTAGAGCAGTTTAGATAATTCAACGGAGGGAGGATAGTCTTTTGTTGACCAAATGGTTGTGGAATATCCATATGGGGAAAAACAAACCTCCATTTCCTTGTGTACTTACCTTCCGTCATTCACAAAGATTACATTCAAATGCTCAGAGCTCTACATGCAAAAGCTAAAAGGATAAAAAATTAAGCATTCAGATGAGAACTTTGTGACCTTTCAGTAGGCAAGTCTTTCACATATGAAGTCAATATCGATAAGCATGAAGAACAAAAAGAACAATATGAACCCAGACTTCACCAATCAAAATATCAGTCAGATGATATCACTACTCTGTTGATAATTGTATGAGTTTCCTAGGGCTTCCATCCTAAAGTACCACGAAGGAGATACCTTCAGAAAAGAGAAGTTTGTTCTCTCACGCTTCAGGAGGCCAGGAGGCCTCTGAGAGTGTGATGTTGGCTGGGCTGATTCCCTCTGGTGGCACCGAGGGTGAGTCAGTTCCAGGCCTCTCTGGTAGGTTCTGGTGGTGGCCCGCAGCGCCTGGACTTCTGTGCCTTGTAGACACTTCACTCCAACTCTTCCTCTTTCTTCACACAGCCTCTCTGTGTGTGTGTTCACATGGCTTTCTTATAAGTGCATCCAGTCATTTGATTAGGGCCGCCGTAACACAGTGTGACCACATCTTAACTAATTATATCTGCAAAACCCTATTTCCAAATCAAGTCACATCCACAGGCTCGAGGGGTTGGGACTTCAACGTCTTTTTCGGGGGGACACAATCCAACCCACAGCCACCCTCCACCACCTCACACTTCACTCTGAGCACAAGCCCTCAGCATGTCCCCTGAGGCCTACGCATCCAGTCCCTGTCAGCTCTCGGCCCCCTGTCCTGCTGCTCTCCTCTTCACCCACTCTGCTCTGGCCACGCTAGTCTCCTCACGCTCCCAGACCTCCTCCAGGTTCACTCAGTCCCTGCTTCACAACGAAGACAACCCCGACCACCCGGTTGAAAATGGAAAACCACTCCTCCAAGTGCTCCCTCTCTTGTTGCACTTCCTACCAGAGTTCTCATCACCTTACCATAGGTTACATAGTGTAGTTGTTTTTTTTCGTTTCTTTTTTCGCACTTTTAAAAAAATTTTATTATTTTGTTTCTTGAAGGATAAATGCTTCTGAGCCTGTGCTCTAGAGCCCAATAGCTGCAACTACTGAAGCTGGAGCACCTAGAGCCTGCCAATGCAGGGCACATGGGTTCGATCCCTGGGCCAGGAAGATCCCACATTTCCGGCGCGACTATGCCCGTGTGCCACATCTACTGGGCTCACCACGATCTAGAGTCCGTGCTCCTCGACAATGAGGAGCCTGAGCACAGCAAGTAGAGAGTAGCCCCCGATGGCTGCGAGCACAGAAAAACTGCACACAGTTACCAAGAGGCGGCACGGCCAAAAGTAAACAAATAATTTTCATGAATAAAATTTTTAAAAGGAGTCTTTGTTTCCAACTACAGCCTTCTCAGACATTGACTATTTCAGTTAATTAAGTTCATCCTACACTAAGATCTGCTCTGGTCCTAAAGAGCCAACCTTAAAAAGTAAGACCCAAAAGGATCAAACTGTTTCCAAGCATCTTAACAGGATTTCACAATAAAGCTCAAGAATAAGTCTAGGAATAGAAAAATATCAAGCATGCAAGGGAAATTCGATAATGCTTGGCATCCAATGTAAAATTACCGGGAGGCAAAGAAGCAGGAAACTCCAATCCATTATAACAGAAATCAGTGTGTTGTTGTTCAGTCGCTCAGTCAAGTGTAACTCTTGGCGACCCCACGGACTGCTCTCGCTAGGCTTCCCTGTCCTTCACCATCTCCCAAAACTTGATCAAATGCATGTCCGTGGAGTCGTGATGCCATCCAACTATCTCGTCTTCTGTCATTCCCTTCTCCTCCCACCTTCAATCTCTCCCAGCATCAGGGTCTTTGGCCATGAGTCAGCTCTTCGCATCAGGTGGCCAAAGTGCCGGGGATTTAATTTTAACAGAAATCAGTTAAAATGCATCAATTAGAAAGGAAGAAATAAATGTGTATTTCTTTACAGACAAAATGATTGTCTATGTAGGAAGGTCAAGGGGATCGATGAAAGAGCTATTACAATTAGTTAATGAGTTTAGCATGGTTTCAGGATACAAGGATACTCTTGAGAGTGCCTTGGACTGCAAGATCCGACCAGTCAGTCCTAAAGGAAATCAGTCCTGAATTTCCATTGGAAGGACTGAAGCTGAAGCTTCAACACTTTGGCCAGCAGATGCGAAAAGGTGACTCACTGGAAAAGACCCTGATGTTGGGGGAGACTGAAGGCAAAAGCAGAATGGGATGACAGAGGATGAGATGGTTTGACAGCATAACCCACAGAATGGGCATGAACTTGAGCAAACTCCAGGAGACAGTGGGGACACAGAGCCTGGTTTGCTACAGTCCATGGGGTTGCAAAGAGTTGGACACTAGTTAGAGACTGAGCAACAACAGCGACGTTCTGGTATTATATCTTAATATAGAAATGTAACTATAAAACTGACAAAATATTCCAAAATCAATAGTGAATGGCAACACACAACATTCTTACTCTCCCACTTCTTAGATTGTCCTCACTTACGTTGTGCTCCTTGAATATCTGGATCTCAGAACCTCCCCTCGAACCGGAAGATGAATGCAGTATTAGGAAGTGAACAAGCTACAACTAAAGTCAGAGACAGCACAGTAGCTCACTTTTATTTTCTGCAGTTAGCAATCACCAAACAAACGATGTGGACCCTCCCCCACCCCCGCCCAAAACAGCACCACAGGCACAAGCTGAAGCCCGATCAAACTACTGCAGAAAGCAATGCCCTCGGGAAGGACACTTGAGACTAGGGCACATAGGCTAGGTTTAAAGCCCTCTTCTGTGCTGAGGCTGGGCGGGCACAAAGTTCAGCAAGGTCCACATCACCACGGAAAGCTGCTCCTGACAGAAGGCGACGGCCGTCTGGAGCAAGGCTTGGTCTTCAGCAGTCAATCGGCTAAAAGGGAGAGAAAATGAAATTCAAATTCCCGCGGAGGAGGAGGAAGAGGAGTATGTCCTCCCTCTGTCCCCGCACACCAACAAGCCCAGAGCACCACACTTCTCCTCTAGGCTTAACCCTCCATGATGGCTCCTCCCGGGCTGAGACTGGTCACCACCCACCAACCCTCCCTCGTCCCGGCCCCCTTTAGAACTGACAGAACCAACATGCGGCCACGAACGTAGAGCTCCCTCCGAACCGGCCATCGCAGTTGAGTTAAGTGAGTCAGGAAGTAGCGGGCGTTGTCCGCCTCCGCGTACGATGAGAAAGACACGGCGAGGCTGCTGGTGGAGATACAGTTAAGGCACCATCCACACGAGTCATTTTGGCTGTACTTCAGGCTCCCTGCTCGCGGAGACCTGCCTTCTCCCACAAGGCCACCGCCCGACCCTCTGGTTCCCTTCAGGTTGCTTTTCCTCACCACCTTCCCCTGGCAGCCAGGCCACCCCTGACCCATACCCTCCAGCCCCCCAGAGTACCCTCCCCCTACACTTTAGGCCCCACCACCTGCTACTCCTAAACAACCCCTAGCCCACACCCCGACCCGTGCGGCCACTTGGCCCACCAGGGCTCCTGGAATAGGATACAACTGGAAGACTCGGTTACTCAGAACTCCGGCTCCGGGTGCAGCAGCTCCACCAGGCCCTGGTGCGTGGGGTGCCCCCGGGATCTGCGGAATGGCAGCGGCTGCGCCACCTGACTCTCCGGCAGCGCTGGGCTCTCTGGGATCAGCCATGTCGCCGGAGCCGGCAGGGACTCCTCGACTGACGGCATCTCCAGGGCCAGCTGGGTCGCCAGGGCCATGGCGGCCAGCAGCACCACCCGGCACACCTTGGCTGCCCCGTGCTGTGCCCGCTGCAGAGGCCTCGGCACCTGTGTCTTCATCGGCTGCCCTGGTGGTTCCTCCACCGTGTGCCTCAGGCTCCATCTTGAACCGCTCTCCCCCGCCCTCCGTGGCGGGAAAGACTGAACCGTCCCTACAGAACCCACCCCTGTGATGAGACCTGCAACTCAACATCGGCAGAGCGCCTGCGCACACACACCCTGGTCCTGCCTCACGATTGGTTCCCACCAACCATTGGTTCCCGCGATGCCTGCAGGCTCTCGGGCAAAACGGCGCCCCCTGTTGAAACTTCACATGTTCGCGTGCCATGTCGCCCCAATGTGCGTGCGCAGACGCCCACCCACGTGGTCTGGACCCTCTGTGTCAGCCCTGCCTCAGGGCCCGGAAGCCCGGTAAATGGCTCAGCCGCGAGGCCTCTGGGTGGCGCTCCACCCTTTAGCGTGGGGGCAGCTTCTCAGTGCGCATGCTCAAACAGACCCCGCCCCACTCCTCAGGGCCCCCGACGGTTTCCACTCCAAGCCTGCAAACCCCAAGTGAGCCCCGGTCCCTGTGCACCTCCAAGTCTGTGTTGCTGCCAGCCTGGCGTCGCTCACAGGTGACCATCCTGCTGAGCGCAGGTCCTTGTCATCGACTCCCAGAAGGGAGTCGGGCACCCCTGGGTCAGGGCCGGTCTGTCCCTCTGGTGTCTCACACATAGCTCACGTGCATGTATGTGCGTCTGTGTGCGTGAGCGCATGGGCAGGTGCATGCATATGGGCACGTGTACACGTGTGTTTGTGAGAGAGAGCACGTGCCCAGATTCATGCACTTAGGTGTGTGTATCTGTGCGTGTGCCCAAGAGAGTGCCCTTAACACAGGTGCCTGCCCGTCGGCGTGTGCGTGGGTGTGTTTCAGAAAGAGAGAGCACAAGCACAGATTCATGCACGTAGGCGTGTGCATGTGTCTGTGTGTGGAGGTGCTTGCACATGGGCATGTATGTGTGGTCACGAGAGAGCTTGTGGTCAGGTGCGTGCACATGGGTCTGTCCCTGTGTGCAGGTGTGTGTGTGTGCGTGTCACAGAGAGCACGGTTGAATTGCATTCACATGGGCATGTGTGTCTGTGTGCATGCTTGCACAGGTGGCTTCACATGGGAGTGGGGTGGCCTGGCCCTGGAGGCATGATAGCAGGGATGTGGAGCCTGCCGTGCCTGCCCGCCTGGGGAGGAAAGCGGGGACTGCTGTTGGACACACTGGGGATGGCATGGGGCTGGGCTGCCTGGGGCTCCAGGCACACAGACTGCAGGGACTCCAGTCTGTGGGCTTGCCCGGGGCCCCTCAGAAGCACCAGAGGAACCGGATACACTCAAGGACTGGGGGAAGGGCAGTGTTCCCCGGGAGCCCGCCGAGTCTCTTGCCCTCTTCCGTCCCTGATCCCCATCCCCTGGGCTGGAGAGTCCTCTCAGCCCTCACATCTAAGGCCAGCAGCATCCCCCCTCCACCAGTGCAGGGAGAGAGGCCCCGGGAGTGGCAGCCCAGGGGTGGGGCATCCGTGTCGTGCCTTCCCACCCACCCAGTTTCTCTCCATTCTGGCTCCGAGTCAGTTTTAGGGTGTGGGTAGATCCTGTCTACTGCCTGTGTCTGTCCCCTGCTCCGTGGCCTAGAGGACCCCAGCGGGGAGCCTGGACACATCTCTCCCTCAGGGGCCCACTCTCAGGTTGGGGGGACATTTGTAAGGGCAGTCGTGCTGTAGAAGGGATCTCACAAGACTACGATGGACTAGAGGGCGAGGGGCTAAGCCACATGATCCACCAGTGTCCTCCCTCTGCCCACTGCACATCTGCACCTGTGCTCTTCATCCATAGTGATAGGTAACACTTGCTACAGTCCATGCACTGTTTCATGTGCTTTCCATGGGTTCGTCCATCAGGTCAGCATTTCAGACATTATTGCCATGTCGGCATCCTGTCTCCCATGGTGCAGGTCTCCTCTACACAAATCACACACACCCACTCTCTCCCCAACACCAGCGGCTCAAAGTCTTGTGCATTTTGGTTTCTGCATTTCTCAAAATATGATGACCGTAGTGCTCCAGCAGGCACTGGGCTTAAGTTGGGTCTGAATGGTGAGATCTGCAAATGAAAATGATAGTGCCAATGACAAATAATGTGTGTGACAAGAGAGTGACAGAAGTATGAAGGAAAGACACTGTATGATAGAATGAGTTCCTCAGAGAGGTTACCACTGTGACATGTGCATGGGTTTTGAGTGAGTGTGACAGAGGGAATGTGTGACTGGGACAGGAATTTAAAAGGACAGAATGCGACGGGAAGAAACTAAGATGCAGATGATAGTGACAGCAGTAGTGAGCGCCCAAGATGATAGATGATAACTTAACGTGTACGGAAAATGGTGAACAGTGCCTCCGGATTCGTGATCTCCAGAGGAGAACTTTTAATTCTGGAACCAAGAGACGCAGTTTCAGTCACTCAGTGCTTTGTGAAGTAGAAATTTTGTTAAAGTGAAAGGGATAGAAAAGGCTTCTGACATAGATATCAGAACGGGGTAGAAAGAGTACCCGGTTTGCTAGTTTAAGCGGAGCATTGTATACGCTTCTGCTAGCTGCTGAGAATAAGTAAAAGGATGACTCAAGGCTACGAAAATGTTGCCCAGACCCTTCCCCATAGCATACATCCCAGGATGACATCAGCAGGATATTAACCAGAAGACATGGGTTAACTCAGAGCTCAAGGCCATGGAAGTTTTACGCAGACCTTCTCCCATAACATAGGTTCTGAGCTCAAAAAAAAAAAAAAGCAAAAAAAAAAGCATGTCCTTGAGCAAGAGATTCTGCTGCCTACCAGGCCTCCGTGTCTAAGAAAAAATAATGTGAAAAAGAAAGAATGTTCACCTCCTCCTTAAAGAGCCTTGGTCTCCCTAGCAACCTGCCGAAAATAACTCTCTCAGAGATACCATGAGAGCATAAGTGTGTGGCCCACAGAGTGTCAGAGAGAGAGAGTCTAGGAGAGAGCGGGTGTAGGATTAGGGTTAGGGATAAGTGTGATGGAAAAGGCATTATAGAGTGACACGGGAATATGCCAGAAAGAGTGTGTGTGACAGATAATCTGACTCAGTATGAGAAAGCAAATCTGAGAGATAATGTGTACAGAAGAAAATGGGTCTGTCACACATGGCAGAGTGTGACAGGGAATGAAGCAGACCATGGGAGGCAGCAGCCTGGGAAAGTGGATCAATCCTCGGGGCCCACGTTTCCCTGAGGCCGGCCATCCCCAGGTCTCCGCCAGTCTGGAGGAAGTCAGCAACTTGATTTGGCTCAGATGCCCAAGCCACGTTCTTCCCAATCAGTTTCATCAGTAATAAAGCTGATATTTAGGTTGAAACACATGCAAGGGGGGTGTGTCAAAGGCTGCAGATGCTAAGCTGGACCTGTTTGAAAGGAGTGGGAAAGGACTCGCAGCAGGCATGAGCGGATGGTGTCAGTGAACTCCTTGTCGAGGAAATGATTCAGGTGGCCCAGTTTGTAAGTCATTTCAGTTCAGTCGCTCAGTCGTGTCCTACTCTTTGCGACCCCATGAATCACAGCACGCCAGGCCTCCCTGTCCATCACCAACTCCCAGAGTTTACCCAAACTCATGTCCATCAAGTCGGTGATGCCATCCAACCATCTCATCCTCTGTCATCCCCTTCTCATCCTGCCCTCAATCTTTCCCAAATCAGGGCCCTTTGCAACGAGTCAGCTCTTCGCATCAGGTGGGCAAAGTCTTGGAGTTTCAGCTTCAACATCAGTCCTTCCAATGAATATTCAGGATTGATTACCTTTTGGATGGACTAGTTGGATCTCCTAGCAGTCCAAGGGACTCTCAAGAGTCTTCTCCAACACCACAGTTCAAAAGCATCAATTGGCATAAGGCTTTGGCGTAGTCAATAAAGCAGAAGTAGATGATTTTTTGTAACTTTCTTGCTTTTTTGACGATCCAGCAGATATTGGCAATTTGATCTCTGGTTCCTCTGCCTTTTCTAAATGCAGCTTGAATATCTGGACATTCACTGTTCACATACTGTTGAAGCCTGGCTTGGAGAATTTTGATCATTACTTTGCCATGGTGTGAGATGAGTGCGGTTGTGTTATAGTTTGAACATTCTTTGGCATTGCCTCTCTTTGGGATTGGGTTGAAAACTGACCTTTTCCAGTCCTGTGGCCACTGTTGAGTTTTCCAAATTTGCTGGCATATTGAGTGCAGCTCTTTCGCAGCATCATCTTTCAGGATTTTAAAAAACTGAACTGGAATAGCATCACCTCCATGAGCTTTGTTTGTAATGATGCTTCCTCAGGCCCACTTGACTTCGCATTCCAGGATGTCCAGCTCTAGGTGAGTGATCTCACCCTCGTGATTATATGGGTCATGAAGATCTTTTTTTGTATAGTTTCTCAGTGTATTCTTGCCAACTCTTCTCAATACCTTCTGCTCCTGTTAGTTCTGTACCATTTCTGTACTTTATTGTTCCCACCTTTGCATGAAATGTTCCCTTGGTATCTCCTATTTTCTTGAAGAGATCTCTAGTCTTTCCCATCCTGTTATTCTCCTCTGTTTCTTTGCATTGATCACTGAGGAAGGCTTTCTTATCTCTCTTTCTATTGTTTGGAACTCTCCATTCAAGTGGGTGTATCTTTCCTTTTTCCTTTGCCTTTAGCTTCTATGCTTTCCTCAGCTATTTGTAAGACCTCCTCAGACAACCATTTTGCCTTTTTTGCATTTCTTCTTCTTGGAAGTGATCTTGATCATTGCCTCCTGCACAATGTCAAGAGCCTCGATTCGTAGATCTTCAGGCACTCTCTCTATCAGATCTAATCCCTTGAATCTATGTCTCACTTCCACTGGATAATCATAAGGGATTTGATGTAGGTCATACCTGAA